GCACCAAATAAAATTTTTAGCATTTTTCTTCACACCAATAAAAGCTTTTTTTGGTTGTAATTTATCACCACTGGGGGTTTTATATTATAAATTATGTAAACAAAAACAACTGAACATCTTGGAAAAAGCTATATTTTCTATTTTCTGTTATAAAATATATCCAATAAAAAAATAAAATGTCTTCATAAATGGAGATCACAGAGTATTCTGATCTATGTCTTCAGTAACAAAGAGTCTCAATCGGTGTATATTATTTAGTCTGTAGGGAAGTTAGAGCGTCTAAAAAATGTCAGGACGGTACAAATCCCCCCAAATGTCAGGACAGTACAAATCCCCCCAAATGTCAGGACGGTACAAATCCCCCCAAAATGTCAGGACGGTACAAATCCCCCAAAATTTCAGGACGGTACAAATCCCCCCAAATTTCAGGACGGTACAAATCCCCCAAATTTCAGGACGGTACAAATCCCCCCAAATGTCAGGACAGTACAAATACCCCCAAAATGTCAGGACAGTACGAATCCCCCCAAATGTCAGGACAGTACAAATACCCCCAAAATGTCAGGACAGTACAAATCCCCCCAAATGTCAGGACAGTACAAATCCCCCAAATGTCAGGATGGTACAAATACCCCCCAATGTCAGGACGGTACAAATACCCCCAAATGTCAGGACAGTACAAATCCCCCCAAATGTCAGGATGGTACAAATCCCCCCAAATGTCAGGACGGTACAAATACCCCCAAATGTCAGGACGGTACAAATACCCCCAAATGTCAGGACAGTACAAATCCCCCCCAAATGTCAGGACAGTACAAATAACCCCCCCAAATGTCAGGACAGTACAAATACCCCCAAATGTCAGGATGGTACAAATACCCCCAAATGTCAGGACAGTACAAATCCCCCCCAAATGTCAGGACTGTACAAATCCCCCCAAATGTCAGGACGGTACAAATCCCCCCAAATGTCAGGACGGTACAAATCCACCCCAAATGTCAGGACAATACATATACCCCACAAATGTCAGGACGGTACAAATCCCCCCAAATGTCAGGACAGTACAAATCTCTCCAAATGTCAGGACAGTACAAATCCCCCCAAATGTCAGGACAGTACAAATCCCCCCAAATGTCAGGACAGTACAAATCGCCCCCAAATGTCAGAACAGTACAAATCCCCTCCAAATGTCAGGATAGTACAAATCCCCCCCAAATGTCAGGACAGTACAATTCCCCCCCCAAATGTCAGGACAGTACAAATCCCCCAAATGTCAGGATAGTACAAATCCCCCAAATGTCAGGAGAGTACAAATCCCCCCAAATGTCAGGACAGTACAAATCGCCCCCAAATGTCAGAACAGTACAATTCCCCCCCCCCAAATGTCAGGACAGTACAAATCCCCCAAATGTCAGGACAGTACAAATCCCCCCAAATGTCAGGACAGTACAAATACCCCCAAATGTCAGGACAGTACAAATCCCCCCAAATGTCAGGACAGTACAAATACCCCCCAAATGTCAGGACAGTACAAATACCCCCAAATGTCAGGACAGTACAATTCCCCCCCCCCAAATGTCAGGACAGTACAAATCCCCCAAATGTCAGGACAGTACAAATCCCCCCAAATGTCAGGACAGTACAAATCCCCCCAAATGTCAGGACAGTACAAATCCCCCCCAAATGTCAGGACGGTACAAATCCCCCCCAAATGTCAGGACAGTACAAATCCCCCAAATGTCAGGACAGTACAAATCCCCCCCAAATGTCCAGACAGTACAAATACCCCCAAATGTCAGGACAGTACAAATCCCCCCCCCCAAATGTCAGGACAGTACAAATCCCCCAAATGTCAGGACAGTACAAATCCCCCCAAATGTCAGGACAGTACAAATACCCCCCAAATGTCAGGACAGTACAAATCCCCCAAATGTCAGGACAGTACAAATCCCCCCAAATGTCAGGACAGTACAAATACCCCCCAAATGTCAGGACAGTACAAAATACCCCCCAAAATGTCAGGACAGTACAATTCCCCCCCCCAAATGTCAGGACAGTACAAAATCCCCCCAAATGTCAGGACAGTACAAATCCCCCCAAATGTCAGGACAGTACAAATCCCCCCAAATGTCAGGACAGTACAAATCCCCCCCAAATGTCAGGACGGTACAAATCCCCCCCAAATGTCAGGACAGTACAAATCCCCCAAATGTCAGGACAGTACAAATCCCCCCCAAATGTCCAGACAGTACAAATACCCCCAAATGTCAGGACAGTACAAATCCCCCCCAAATGTCAGGATGTCATTTGTCTTTATGGACCTTGCTTTGTGTGCTGGTGGGCAGTAATGTTGGAACAGGAAGGGGCCATCCCCAAACTCCTCCCATAAAGGTGGGAGCATGAAATTGTCCAAAGAGTTCCCTTCACTGGAACTAGGGGGCCAAGCCCAACCCCTGAAAAACAACCCCTCACCATAATTCCCCTCCACCAAACTTTACACTTGGCACAATGCAGTCAGGCAAATACCGTTCTCCTGGCAACCACCAAACCCAGACATGTCCATCAGATTCCCAGACAGAGAAGAATGATTGGTCACTCCAGAGAACACGTCTCCACTGCTCTCGAGTCCAGTGGCAGTGTGCTTTACACCACGGCATCCGACGCTTTGCATTGCACTTGGTGATAGAAGGCTTGGAAACCCATTCCATGGAGCTCTCTACGCACTGTTGTTGGGCTCATCTGAAGGCCACACCAAGTTTGGAGGTCTTTAGCTATTGACTCTGCAGACAGTTGGCGACTTCTGCGCACTGTGCGCTTCAGCATGCGCTGACCCCGCTCTGTCATGTGACGTGGCCTACCCCTTGGTGGCTGAGTTGCTGTTCCCAGTTGCTTCCACTTTGTTATAATCCCACTAACAGTTGAGCGTGGAATATTTAGTAGCCAGGAAATGTCACGGATGGACTTATTGCCCAGGTGACCACCTATCACGGGACCACGCTTGGAGTCACTGAGCTCCTGAGAGCGACCCATTCTTTCACCAATGTTTGTAGAAGCCATCTGCATGCCTAGGGGATTGATTGTATACACCTGTGGCCATGGAGGGGATTGGAACACCTGAATCACATGATATGGAGGGGATTGGAACACCTGAATCACATGATATGGAGGGGATTGGAACACCGGAATCACATGATATGGAGGGGATTGGAACACCTGAATCCCATGGTTTGGAGGGCGGGCCCAATACATTTGGTAATATAATATGGGCTTAATGGAAGAGGCTTCCTTTCCAGAAGGGTTTTTCTCCAACGTTGGACATGCACCCAGCTATGTTCCATAAGATGGGGGACATTTGAGAGAGGTTCTGGAGGCGAGCATGGGAGGAGGTGACAAGGGAGCTAAAGAGTCAGAGATCTTGAGACTAATTAGTATGAAGCTGGGGGTCAAGTTGTGGATGGCTTTGTAAGTTGTTGTTAGCACTTTGAATTTAATTTATTGGGTGAGTGGCAGCCAATGAAGGGACTGGCAGAGAGGGGTGGAGGACACTGAGTGGAGGCCAGTGGAGGGATTGGCAAAAAGGGGCGGAGGACATTGAATGGAGGCCAGTGGAGGGATTGGCAGAGAAGGGTGGAGGACATTGAATGGAGGCCAGTGGAGGGATTGGCAGAGAGAGGAGGACACTGAGTGAAAGCCAGTGGAGGGATTGGCAGAGAGGGGTGGAGGACATTGAAGGGAGGCCAGTGGAGGGATTGGAGGGATGCAGAGAGGGGTGGAGGACACTGAATGTAGGCCAGTGGAGGGATTGTCAGAGAGGGGTGGAGGACACTGAATGGAGGCCAGTGGTGGGATTGGCATAGAGGGGTGGAGGACACTGAATGGAGGCCAGTGGAGGGATTGGCAGAGAGGGGTGGAGGACACTGAATGGAGGCCAGTGGAGGGATTGGCAGAGAGGGGTGGAGGACACTGAATGGAGGCCAGTGGAGGGATTGGCAGAGAGGGGTAGCAGACACTAAGCAGTTAGTAAGTTCGATGAGTCTGGCAGCAGCATGCATGATAGACTGAAGGGGGGATAGCCTGTGTAAAGGTAAGCCAATGAGGAGGGAGTTGCAGTAGTCGAGGCGAGAGATGACCAGGGAGTGGACTAGCAGCTTTGTGGTGTCATATTGGTTAAGAAGGGGCAAATTTTAGAGATGTTGAGGAGGTTGAGGTGGCAAGCCTTGTACAGTGATTGGATGTAGGAACGAAAAGAGAGTTGAGCGTCCAGGATAACACCTAGCACCCTGGCAAGCGGGGAAGGGTTGACAGTTGACTTGGATAAGTAGAAAGGAGTGCCCGGAGTCCAGAGAAATGCAACTTCTGAAGTATGGTTAATAGATGTTTATTACAAAGTAGCAACATGTATATCAAGCCAATGCATTTCGGGGGAATAGACTGCCCCTTCTTCAGAGCTCTTGCTGTGTACTATTTAATGGGAACAATTCCCATGAATGGTTAGTTGCATGGCCAATGAAACTAAAGCCAGCATCCTGCCATTCTGATTTCTAAAACCTTGTTGGAACATAAGCAGTCATGGGAATTGTTACCATTACATTGTATGCATTAACAACCTTTATAACTGGATACTAATATTTATAGGGAAAGTTGATCCCGGGAATATCCAATTGTCTCTCGGGGGATCAGGAAGGATTTTTTCCCAGCAGGTGCAAATTGGATCGTGCTTTGCTGGGGATTTTTTGCTTTCATCTAGATAAACTGTGGGTGTAGGATTATAACTTTTTTTTTTTTCTATGGTTGAACTGGATGGACATTTGTCTTTTTTCAGCCAGACTAACTATGTAACTATGTAACCCTGAAGAAGTACCAGGGGGGTCTATTCCACCATAACACGTTGGATTGATGTCCGTGTTGCTAATTTTTAATAAATGTCTATGAACCGTACTTCAGACGTTGCATTTCTCTGGACATTTCTTCTTATCCAAGTCTACATGCTGAAACTACCATAAGGTCACACAGAAAAGGCAGCAGCCCAATCCCCAAGAGGGCCCATTGCCACCATCCATAACTGAGATCTAGTCACTGGAAGGAATTCCTTCCCTATTGCCACACAAATGCCCATCCAGGACCAGTGACCAATCCAGTCAGTCCGGTGTGGTCTCTAACACAAGTCTGTCTTGACAGGGAAGTCAGGGTAAGGGGCATGTGGGGCAGGAAATATTATGAGCTATCAGCTGACCCAGGGAAGAGTTGTAGATTGAGAATAGGGGAGGTCCAAGAACAGAACCTTGGGAAACACCCCAAGAGAAGGGAAGAGGAGAGGAGGAAGTAGAATTGTAAGTGACACTGAAGATGCAATGGGATAGGTAGGATGAGAACCAAGGAAGAGTACAGTCACAGAGACCAAAGGAGTAAAGTTTTTTGAGGAGGAGGGGGTAGTCAACTGTATCAAAGGCAGCCAAAAGGTCCAGACGTAGGAGTACAGAATAGTGCCCATTGGATTTAGCTGTTAGTAGATTATTTGTGAGTTTTACAGTTTGAGAGCAGTTTCTGTGGAGTGCTGAGGGTAAAATGCAGACTGAAGGGGATCAAGAAGGTTATTCTTCTCCATAGTTGTCTGTATCCCATTACCTGTGGTGGACCTCTCCATAGTTGTCTGTATCCCATTAGCTGTGGTGGACCCCTCCATCGTTGTCTGTATCCCATTACCTGTGGTGGACCCCTCCATAGTTGTCTGTATCCCATTAGCTGTGGTGGACCCCTCCATAGTTGTCTGTATCCCATTAGCTGTGGTGGACCCCTCCATCGTTGTCTGTATCCCATTACCTGTGGTGGACCCCTCCATAGTTGTCTGTATCCCATTAGCTGTGGTGGACCCCTCTATAGTTGTCTGTATCCCATTAGCTGTGGTGGACCCCTCCATAGTTGTCTGTATCCCATTAGCTGTGGTGGACCCCTCTATAGTTGTCTGTATCCCATTAGCTGTGGTGGACCCCTCCATAGTTGTCTGTTCCCATTAGCTGTGATGGACCCCTCCATCGTTGTCTGTATCCCATTACCAGTGGTGGACCCCTCCATAGTTGTCTGTATCTTATTAGCTGTGATGGACCCCTCCATCATTGTCTGTATCCCATTGCCTGTGGTGGATCCCTCCATAGCTGCCTGTACCCCATTACCTGAGGTGGATCCCTCCATAGTTGTCTGTATCCCATCTGTGGTGGATCCCTCCATAGTTGTCTGTATCCCATTACCTGAGGTGGATCCCTGTGTACTTGTCTATATTCCATTACCTGTGGTGGACTCCTCCATATTTGTCTGTATGCCATTACTTGTTGTGGATCCCTCCATAGTTATCTGTATCCCATTACCTGTGGTGGATCCCTTCATAGTTGTCTGTTTCTACACATATTTCACAATGCTGGCACCTACATAGTGACTCTGTCCTATGTATCTCCTTTTTTCTTGTGGTTGTGAATTTGTTTTCTCTCCTGATTGGTGGTTTGGATACAGACAACATGCTTAACGTTTGCCTCGTCATCTGTTCGGCTATGTCAACACAGCAGGTCTGGGGATTTGCATCTGGAAGCTAAGTTAAGGCTTTGACGGACAAGAGGATTACACACTGTCTGATTGAGCTCAGTGATTAGATCCAGTGTCATGTACCTTGGTTGGATGCCCAACTGGCGAGAGGTCTTCCCTTGCAGCTCTGGTCCTAGCACCCTTGAAGGTGGTGAGAGAGGTACAAGGCTTAAAGATGCATGGGTGCCAGTTCTTGGTAGCAGGTGGCTTCCAAAATCAGAGACATAGTCAGGATGATCCAAAGACATACTTGGGGTAGGTAGCAGGATGGGTTCAATAGCAAAGAAGCAGGAAGAGCGAGGTTCAGTAGCAGACTGGGGTCAATACCAGAGAAGCAGTCATAGGCGAGCAGAGGTCAGTATCCAAATCCACAGAGCAAGGTGAGGAACTAGCTGGATCAGCAATGGGAGATCAGTCAGCATACGGAGGAACACAGGTCACGGGTAAGCTGAAGAACATCCAGTGGTTAGCACACACCAAGGTTTATTTTAAATAGGCAGCTTGGCGCCAGTCCATGTGGACGTATGTACCAAATACTGGGAATACTATACTGAGTGTACATAACTGTCAGCAAGAACAATCACCAGAGGTTAAATACATTGCTATAATGGAAATGACTGAAAGCTACAGTACTTAACACGTTGGCGTTGAATCCATCATGTTTATGCAACAGGAGCTAAATCTGAAGACTATTTGTATATACTCAGAATTTAAATACATCATCTCCTACAAAAATACATCTCTCTGTCTTCTTTTACTGGGTCATTTCTACAGCACACACAAGCCATATATGTTGACTCCGCCATTCTTCTATGCTTTATTCATTCTGGTCTTGGGGCTCATCTTGGCAATACCTTCTAACACTTGTATTGTGAAGAGTAACCTGGACAGCATCAGGAAGAAAGAGAAGTTGAGTCCCACCGATGGGATCTTCAATGTAAAGGGAATTGCTGACATTCTCCTACAGTGTGTGCTGAGTCTACAGGGAATGATATATGTCGTCTTCTGCATTCTTTTTCCCTAAACAAGTCTATGTATTTGTAAAACACATTAATTTTCTTTTTAACATATTACAGCTTCTGGTTGACCTTCTGGCTCTCGGCTCATTACTGTACCAGCATCACCAATCTCAGCTATGGGTTCTTCATCTGGGTAAAGAGACTTCTGTGAAATTTGCTGAATCAACTTCTATTCCTGACAGCACTTGGGATATTCATTGTGAGTGTCCTGACCATCTGGACCTTGACTGTAGGCAGTGCTATTCAGTCTTTTGAGAACATTACAGTTGAAGCCCCCTTTATAGATACCATTTCCAATGTCAGATTTTCCTATTTTGTGTCGGTGACCATCCTTGGCATCATTCTGCCATTCTGCCTTAGTCTTCTGTGCCTGGTCCTCACCTTCAACTGTATGGTCAGACACGCCTGGAGGGGGAAGAATAACGACTCTGGATCAACAATTTTCAGGTTCATGTCGCTGCACTGAGGACAATCTTTCTTCTCATGTTCACCTCCTTCTTTATGTCTCTGTTGATTTATTTTATTGGAAAACCCAAAAAGAATACAGACCCAATAGCTATGACCAGTTGTTCTTTACTGTCATTATCTCCATTGGCCAAGGTGGCTGTCATCTTCCAGGCCAGCAACAAGCTGAGAAGGATCTCTCTGAGAAGATTCTGGACCAGAAGCTGGAGGAACACAGAGACTCAAATGAGTAGATGTTGTTTATCTTGAATGTCTAAAGATTTGCTAACCA